ATTACTTCAGTTACACGTTACTTGAATGCATCCTGCAACTAAAACAAATGGTATTACCACAGCAAATGTCATACAAATGTGGTAAACATGACAATACATGCGCATATATCATTCTTTTACTCATTTTCTTTTGGCATAGTCCCTTATTTGTCAGGGGTCGCCACAGCAGAATGAACCGCCAACTAATCCGGCATATGTTTTATGCAGTGGATGCCCTTCCAGCTGCAACCTAGTACTGGGAAACACGTAGGGCGTACTCACACTAGGTACAGTTGCCTTAAACCGTAGCAACGCCTCTGTCATCGATGATGCAACGGTTCAGTTTAACAAGAAGAGATGTGCTCTCGTTTTAGTCGTTTGGGATGCAGTGACTTGCAGTCAAATACTTCGCCGAACAGATCCACAATATTTGGCGCTCATAAATTATTATAAAACTCATCATGCTGCAGGTATTAGAAGGTTTGCTGAAGATGCAGCTGACGTTCAGTGAAGGGTTTGTGTCTTTAATAAACTATAACAGTTCATTAAAAAAAAAAGAATTATTAATAAATCCATATGAAATAGTTCCCTAAAAGTGACATTGTATCGGGTTCATGCGCGCTTTGTACTCAACCAATGAGTGTACAATGCCAAAGCCCAACCGATCCGCGCCTGGGTCTGATTTAGAGCACTCTTGTCAAACAAATTGGGAAATGCGCCTGAGCATGGTTTGGCTAGCATAGTGTGAGTGCACCAATTTTACCCAAGTTTACCCAATTCACCTACACCGCATGTCTTTGGACTTTGGGAGAAACCGGAGCACCAGAAGGAAACCCACACGGACACAGGGAGAACATGCAAACTCCACACAGAACAGCCAACTGACCCAGCTCGGACTCAAACCAGTGACCTTCTTGCTGTGAGGTGACAGTGCTAACCATTGAGCCACAGGCAAGCCCACACATGAATCATTACATACAAAAATGTTCAAACATTCAGGGTCCTACTAGCACACAAACACACACAAACAACAATTTATTTAAGAAATTTCATGGTTCTTTGATATGAAAGTCTTGTTAAAAGTTAAGATGAATTTACTGCATTTGAAATTACTCAAAACTAACTCAAAACTTCTGAATGGTAGATTGAGGTATGTGTGTGTTTGTATATTTATGTCCTTATTATGTCCAATGTATATTATCTTCTTGGTTAAACATGAAACATCTACATAGAATATAAGAACTTTATACATAGTGATGCCGTTTGTAATGTGCTTGTTGTGTAGCAGAGCACTGTTATCAGAAATCAGTTTAACTCCAAAAGAAGGAGCCACAAAACTCTCACCAGTGACTAATTTTCACACCACTACCAGAGAGGAAGAGAGAGAGGGAGATTAGCTTCAGATGTGGTAGATGCCTGGGTTGTTTCTGATGGTAAACAGCCTTATCAAAGAGTCTCTCAGTCACACTTTGGTTGAGGGAACATTAAGTAGAGCTTATAACATTTACTGAATGTCTGTAAGGCTCTGATTCACAAGCTGTGCGTGTGAAATCAGTGTTAATGGTTTTCTGTGTGGTGAGGTGGGGTGTGGGTAGAGCTTCTTCAGGGGCAGACAACCGGGAATGCTGTCCCGGGAGGTGAGATGAAGGAGGGAGGGGGGCTAATTGGGTTCGATATTAGCATTTTTCCACCAGCACCATTTAGGTTTGAGTTCCAGGCCAGTATCAATTCTGGTTCCATGTGTTTCTACCACATGAAATGCGTCTATTAAATTCTTGCACCATAAAACTGCCGATCTCGAATTGAGTGGGATACTCAGAAATACTAAAATGCTTGTTAAGAAATCCAATAACTTTACACTACACTGCTCAATATGTCTAAATATATAAATATATGCATTAGAAATGCCAGCATTCAATATAGTAGTCGAGTTTGAGATTTCTGGTGCCGCCAATTTATTTGAGTGTTGCCTGTATGTAAGAATCTCTCCTGGTACTGTGTGAAAAGAGAAACATAAGTGCTAGACTGCCAGCAAAACCTCTGCACAGAACTGGCCAAGAATGGATTATGGCTCCAGAACACAAACAATTTCAGTGAAAAAGCAGTATGGCCTGACTTAATAGTTGGGCCCAATGAATGACCCACTCAAAAAATGTTGAACTAGCCACGTTTCCACTGTCTCGCCAAAAGTGTGAGCGCTAGTGTGTGCCAGGGCCAGTTGCGTTTTCACGGTTACTTTCAGGGTTGATTGGGTCTTGTTGGGCCTTACTCAAGTCATAACCAGAGTTTTTTGGCCTGCTAAAAAGCTTGAGTTAAAGCAGGCCAGCTACTGTAGGGCTTCTGAAGTAGTCATAAACAAAAGTCTAAGTCAGAAGAGGGTCAGCACCACTGCACATTTTCCATGTTTTTATATCAGTCTAGCACATGGGTCTCAAGCTCAACTCCTGGAGGATCGCAGCTCTGCATAGTTTTGCTCCAATCCTAATCAAACACAGCTAATCCAACTAATCAAGATGTAATCAAGACTACTACAGACTATTAAGCAGGTGTGATTCGAAGGTGGTTGGAGCTAAACTGTGCAGAGCTGTGGCTCTCAAGGAATTGCATATGAGGCCATGTTCACACTAATGCATTTTAGCTTGAAAACGCATAAGTTTTGCTAAAGCAAAACGCTGAAGAGGACGTTTTAGTTTGAAAACGCTGCTGTTCCGTGCTAGTGTGGAAGGGGGGAAAATAGAGACATCTGAAAATGGAGGCGTGTTGCAGACATTCTGATTGGAGCTTTTTCCTCAATATTAAGTAGCCTACACAAATTTCAGTCCTGCATCCTCTCCTTGTAAGTTCAGAATTTGCAAGTTTGAGAAAACAAACTCATGAGGACATGTCGAGTAAATCTTTAAAGGCAACAGCATGGGCTACATTACAACCTCATTTACATCACCCTAACTACGTGGCTTCTTATTTTCTTAGCAAAAAAATGAAAACATGATTCAAGGAACTGCCTATTTTCATTTTGATTTGAGCAACTTAACAGACACCAAAAATGTTGAGGCATCGTGTAGCTGCATATATGAGCATCATCTTCACTGTATGCATGAGCATCATCTTCACTGTATGCATAACAAAACAGAGTCTATAACATAACTGCCCCCTTTCATTTTCATTGAAAACACAAAACATACCCTCTCTTTTGCTGAATATCAGTTTTAATAACCAATAATGGCCATTATAAAAGTATAACGTACAATAAGTTTATACATTATAGGAAATAAAGGCAAGCAATCAGTCAAATGTGCAGAATCAGTGTACGTCGTTACATTAATTAATATATTAACTTATCGTTGCGCTCAGCCAAAACATGTTACCTGAGAACAATTAATAGATTCAAAAGACCAAAATCGGGGAATATGTCGTTAGATAGAGACAAAAATATGAATTAAATATCACGTTTACACATGAAACAAATATAGTGAGATTAGATCCAGCGGTAGATCCTTGATGAACAGTCCGACATGCACAGCTCTCATCTGGGTAGATAACTACCTGGAGCTCAGACTTGCGCATACACTGCAGTGCATGCCAGAGTGTGTGTGTGGTCACGTGATGTGCGTTTTCAGTGGTATTGTGTGGACGGAGAGTTGTTCAGAAACGCTAGGTGAAAAGCTAGTATGGATGTGGTTCGTTTTTATTCTAAATGCCTTTTAAAAGAAAAATGTATTAGTGTAAAGGGGCTTGAGAACACTGGTCTAGCAACTCATATTAACATTTAAAATATTTGAGATGACTACATCACAAAATACATTTAAACACCTTGCAGAGAACTAATACATGACTGTCTGTTTTATCAAAAATGAGTGGCCATACAGTATCATGATCCTAGAGTCTATTAAGACCAAATGTTTATATCTACAGGAGCTTGTTGGTTTTGCTATACGGATTTGATTCATTTGCCCTTACTTGTGAAATATAATGATGCTAATTCAGGGAGGTCTGTTAAGTATCACCCGACAATGGAAACCCAGCATTGTTTAGGTTACTTTGCTTGAGGTCCGATACTATTTGCCACACTCGGCACGGCGAGTCATTTTATGTATCTTAAATATTTTAAATGTTATAAAACATTTTATACTGATATAAAAACATGGAAAATTTGCAGTGGTGCTGATCGTCTTTTGACTAAGACTTTTGTTGATGACTACTTCAGAAGCCCAAAAGTAGCTGGCTTGCTTTAACTCAAGCTATTTAGCAGGCCAAAAAACCCTGGCCATTCACTTGGGAAGGCCCAACAAGAACTAATCAACCCTGGAAGTAACAGTTAAAATGCAACTGGTCTTGACACACACTACCACACACACTTTTGGCCCGACAGTAGAAACGTGGCTAGTTCAACATTTCTTTGAGCGGGTCATTCATTGGGCCCAACTATTAGGTCAGGCCATACCTCTTTTTCATTAAAAATGTGTTCTAGAGCCATAATCCATTCTTGACCAGTTATGTGCAGAGGTTTTGCAGCCAGGTTAGGATTTATGTTTCTCTTTTCCCACAGTACCAAGAGAGATTCTTACGTACAGGCAACTCTCAAATAAATTGGCGGCACCAGAAATCTCAAACTCACCTACTATCTTGAATGCTGGCCTTTCTAATGCATATATTTATTATTTTGACATTTTGAGCAATGTAGTGTAAAGTTATTGGTTTGCTTAACAAGCATTTTAGCATTTCTCAGTTTCCCACTCAATTTGAGACCAGAAGTTTTATGTTGCAAGATTTTGAGACACATTTCATGTGGTAGAAACACATGGAACAAAAATTGATACCAGTCTGGAACTCACACCTAAATCATGCTGGTGGAAAAATGCTAATATGCTAATATTGAACCTGTTTAGCCTCCTCTCTCCCTCATCTCACCTCATCATCACCTCCTGGGATAACATTCCCGGTAAAGAAGTCCAATACTATTTGGACCACTCTGCACTTCAAGTGGGAAAGCTGCTAATGTGGGTGCAGTAAGGTCATCGTACCTGTTTGGCCTTCGATTTGGTTATTGTATCTGAGATAGGTTTCTTCTTTTCCTTGACTGCACTTTTGGCAAACATTTCCACAAATTCGTCAAAGTCTACTGATGGCTCTTGAACATTCTCCCACACCAAAGCACTTTTGGCATCCCTATAAAGGAAGAACATAAAACATCAGTTTGATTTATCTGCTGTCAGTGTGTTCAAAGTCAAGGTGAAACACAAAAAGTCAGCATACACACAGCAAATGAATATTGCATTCAACTGACAAGGCATGTGATTACTTTTTGGCATGAAGCTGAATCCGGGTCCAGTAGAGTGGTTTCATTGGTCGTGGAGGCTCAATGACAGCCTTCAGGGGGACAGACTCATGGGCCATGCCTGGAGGCCCCATACCCATGAAGGGTGGTGGTGGTCCAATTCCAGGTGGAAGAGGGGGCGGTGGAGGTCCACAGCCAGGAGGAGGGGGAGGAGGGGGTGGCGTCATGCCTGGGAATGGAGGTGGAGGAGGTGGGGCCATACCTGGAAGTGGAGGTGGAGGAGGTGGGACCATGCCTGGGAGTGGAGGAGGGGGTGGAGCTTTGCCAACAACTGGAGGTGGCGGAACAAAACCTGGCAGAGGAGGTGGAGGTGGGATCACACCTGTGGGTTTTGGTGGAGTCATACCTGAAAGTGGTGGGGGAGGAGGGAGTTGAGGGGGTGGTGGTGTTGATAGTGGTTGAGAAGTGGTTCTTTGGCAGCTACAGGTATAGGGTAATCCCATTGGTGAAGTGGCACTGTCACTTAATTTGGGAGTCTGTGATTGGTGTGATAAAGGCACTGGAAATTTGAAGGCTTCCTCAACAGGCGAGGTCTGAATGGCTTTTACATGATGCAGAACACGTTGTCCGTTTACTTTAGTCTGTTTGATGGTTTGATTAAAACCAGCCACTTCTCGATCCTTCCTTCCAAGTTTTCCATCCACAACATGATTATCTTTTTCTATTTCTGATATTTTCTCAAGTAACTCTTCAATTGTTTGCTCTAGCTCCTGAATGGAAACGGAAGACCCTTCCAGAACACTTCCAGATTGCCCCGTGGATCCATCCTGTGGAGAGCAGGATACAGAAAAGAGAGTCGTCACATCTTTAAAAAGAAACAGCAGCATGGAATGAAAAACACAGACACCTCCTGTCACATGCGATCGTACTAGCATGAGTTAGTGCCTTGTTTTAGCGGATGTTAGTTTCTCCTCCGAGACTCTGTTTTCTGAGGAATGGTATGAGTGAGTGTGTGTTTGTGAGTAAGGGGCTGTGTTTCTTAATAACACAGACCAGGCACGCATGTGGCGTCCCACAAGTCAATAAAAGCACTTTGGCTGGTCAGGAAAACATAGCAGTGCTTCCTGGATGAAGGCAAGAAAGTGAACCAAGGGAAATGAATGAACCGCCACAGCCAGACGTGCTAAAATCGTCACACAAGGGATGCACTTGGCAAACACAAAAACATGGTAATAAACACACAGAGGCGAACTTCGTCACGCACACATACAATCTGGCAGCAAGGGTCAAGGAAGTCCAACAAGTCTAGACTCCAGAAGTCGTCTCTGAGGACTCCTAAAAATCGAGCCGCAGAGTCTCTGGGAATGAGGAGGGAAGGGTTTTTGCCTTTCTATTACACAGCTTCAAACGGCTTCAAAGAGCTTGTGTGGGTCTGTGCGAAGGGTTGGGGGAGAACAGAGAACATATCACACACATGGAGTCTAGTTACATGTTTGGCCCTGTCAGATTGACATGGGTTTGGGGAGACGCTTTCATTCACAAAAATCTTCCTCCACTGTCAGGGAGGTTTGGAAAATTGTGGCTCCAGACCTCCAGGCCTCAAGAATTCTAGATTGATTAGTAGCCATCAAAGTTCCTTCATGCAATTTGATATGGTCATATATGTACCAGAAATAATCTACTATATTTTGCTGTAGTTATTGCAAATTAGTACATTAAACAAGAACTATCTAACCACTAGGGGGCGAATTGCAACAAAACCCCATTAAAGAATATTCCGACCAGAAACATGAGCAATAAACTGTAACATAAGGTGTTGCGTGTGTGCTTTGAACACTGGAATGCGAGCAGTCATTTATCATTTCAGAACTCAAACACGGTGAATCTTATAATGCAATGGCAGCCGCTGTGTCTGTTGGACAGATGTTTAGATCTGGATAAGATGCTGTTAGGATGCTGTTTACAAAGGGTCTCATAGCAACTCTAAGGACAAGTGTGGCTTGTGAGGTGTTAAATACATTATGAGCAGCAGAAGGGTGTTAAAAATTAGTTGAGAGTTTATACAATCCAGCATAGACATAAAGGGACAGTAGACAAAACCAAATTTATGTTTGAGTACATAACGCTTTTACAAACATGGTAATTGAATCATTCAGTAGTATTATTCTGGGGTAGTTCAATGGAACAGTTGTTAAGTATCAGATGTTTATATAATACACTGATATATAACACCATGAGATTTTCATACTGCATTTATGGAAAACATGATTTTACCATTGGAAATAACCATTTCCAATCACAGCATAATATTTGTCTGGTACACTTAAGGTGTATCAGAAGGTGATAGCAATGCACTTTAATATTTACCATTATCAAATGTCCAAAAAATATTACCATGGTCATTTCTGGAACATTTATTGTTGCCTTTACAAAAATGTGTTGATACTGCCAGACTTGCAGTAAAAGGATAACAAAAAATAGAATTAAAATGCATCACAGAGATGGAATTTTTGTTTCATAGCCAACATCTAAGAGCCAACATCTTAAAAACATAACAATGCCAATAATGACTGTAGGCTATATTCTCACTGTGGGTATATCAAATCATATTTAATCTCATACTCGCACCTGTGCAGCAGTAAGGGTCGGAGGCCAAATTCTTTGCAACCGCCCAGGTGTTCTGATGTCATGCTGACCCATTGGAGCCCAGGTGTACAGTTGATCCTTCTGTAAGTGTGTGCAACAGAAACAGAGAGCTGACATTAAAAGAGCTGATGATGGTAAGACACTTTTAAAAAAAGCATACAAGAATCTAAAATTAGCCTCTAGTTCCTGGGGCTTCTTTCTTGATTAAACAGCAAGACAAAAAGTATATTTGGAGGCAACACTGTGTGTGTAGAGGGACCTCTGCTGGTAGACTGAAAGAAAAACAGCATTGACCAAATGGGAGCAATGCACAGCATTGTCTTGCTGACACTACCAGCATGCTCAAACATACAATCTGAAAGGCTATTCGTGAGGCTGTCCATTCACATCAGTGGGGGTTTGCTTAGGCATGCAGTGAACATGTCATTCGGTTAAGACATGCTGCAGTGTTGCACTGCATGATTGTTCATATTTCAAAGGTAAAGGCTACCAACCGGGTATAACAAGGTTGTATATAATTTACATTTTTTCCTGGTTAATATCTGATTGCAAATGAGCAAACGTAGTTTCTTTACATAAATGTACTTTTAATATGTAAATCTGGATGAGTCTCTTATGTTGCACAGTCAAAATTCTATAATTTTCTTTTATGGCAAAATTCATTAGTATATTAAGTAAAGGTCATGTGCAGAGGTGCCCAGACTCCTTCATATAAAGAGCCAAAAACTAAATATTATGAGCCATGGGCTGAAGGTAAATATACCAAACTATATTAAAGTTGCCATGGTTAATTTCCTAATTCATGTCATTATATATATATATATATATATATATATATATATATATATATATATATATATATATATATATATATATATATATATATATAAACATTACTTTAAATTGTTTCAACTAATGCAGTGTAACTTTTGAAATGATAACTTATTGGAATTAAAAACATAACATTGATCAGTGGAGTTCAATGCTGAATACACTAGTCAAGCAGAACCTGCCTTTGCCTTGATTTGCTCACCAAAGTCTCTGCAATGTCCTTTATTTATAAGGTGACAGTATGTACATTTAAACAAAATCTGATAAATTTAACAATATTTTATTTAAACACTTAATTTTAAGTTGGCTTTTACAATAAAACTAAAGGTTACTGTACATCAGTTTTGAAATGACAATCTCTAAACCATCCCAATCATTCCACTTCTCTTCTCAGATGGGATGGTGGGCCAAATCAAAGGTTACCATGGGCCAACTTTGGTCCGCAGGCCCTAGTTTGGGCATCTCTGTTCTAAAGACATTTTGTAAATGTCCAACTGTAAATATATCAAAATTTATGATTAGTATATGCATTGCTGAGGGCTTCATATTGACAACGTTAAAGGGTAATTTTCTAAATATTTTTTTTATTATTATTATTATTATTTTTTACATTTTTTGAACCCTCAGTTTTTATGACTGAATCTAAATAGTTGTATCTTTTATCCAGATATTGTTAAACCGTATAGCTTATCAATGGAAAGCTTTTATTTAGCTTTTAGGTTTTGTAAATATCTAATAAAAAAAATTACATTCATGACAGGTTTTATGGTGCAGTGTCACATCTGTAAAACTGTGTAAATCCGAGTGCATCTGTGTTTGATGAGCGTATACAGTAAAATGTGTTTTATATGGTAGTCCCAAATTAGAAAGTTAGAAAAATTAAGTAAATACATTTACATAGATTCTAAAGAAATTTAACTGTCATGACAGACAGACAGACAGACAGACAGACAGACAGACAGATAGACAGATAGATAGATAGATAGATAGATAGATAGATAGATAGATAGATAGATAGATAGATAGATAGATAGATAGATAGATAGATAGACAACATACATGGTTAGACAGTGATGGTGAATGAAATAATGAATCCGTCTCTAGACAATGATCCATAATAACAATAGGCTACTGCTCTCTATGCCTCATTGAAACCACAGGCAATGAAATCACAGTATTAAGTCATGCTCTGCCATCACAAAAGGGCCATTGTGGTTTTAAAAATAAAGATTTATTTACTCACAACTTTGTTTAGACTTTTTTGAGTATTAAATCTGCTCCTTTACACACAATGAAATTAAATGTTATTAAATGAGATTTTAAACACTTTTTTAAGGTTTCTCTTCAAGAGGCAACACAACAAAATGACGGCTAGCTAATATTAGCATGCGGTTTCAACCTCGGCCACCAGGTGTCACTTTCAGCAAGTCAAATGTAATAGGCTGTCGTAATTATTTGCCCTTGAATAAAAATAAGGATGAAAAGGTTTTACACACCCCAATCAAGAAAAGAAATCAGGTAGCATATGCTTCAAATGCATTTGATACCATGTAAAAAAAGTGTGTTTCTTTAAATAGTTGCTTTATCTAAAGTCTATCAAATCTCTCTTCACATTATTTATCAAAAGAATAATTTTGAGTTCTTTTTTTGAGTTGTAAACAGACCATCTTTAGTCCGAGCTCAGCTGTAATTCACTGTCTAAATAGAAACTGAAGACTAGAACAAAACAGAACAGAAAACATTAAGACATATTTTATTACATTATGGAAAGGGAGAAATTAAATGATGGCAACCAGTTAGATAAGGGTCAAGGGTAAATTCAGAGAAATCAAACTGCTGGGTAAGAATAATAAAATAATAAGGGGCAATTAAATCAGTCAACAGACATGTACTGAGGTGTCTTTGAAATAATACTCTGGAACTGAAAGATATTTTTACTTCATGCAAATCTTGTGAGTGATGCATAATATGTTTCGTCTGCAGATGATTATTAATACAGCACCACCTCATTTACATTCTCATTTGCACAATAAATTGAAGAGGTCTAATTTCCACTGTCATTAAGAGCCATTATTTGGCTTTCAGCCTGACAGGGCTAAATCACATGAGTCAAACTAGTCTATAATGTTGTTTTTGCTAGCACAAATAGTGTAAAACATCCCAAATGATGTGCTACATATGGATGGGTGACAGAAATTAATTTATATAGTATGTGTGTGTGTGAAAAAAACACAAATAGACAGCAGCATAGAATAAAAAAAAACAGCTAATGAATTCAGTCTTTTCTACCTTCAGAAACAAACACAAGCATGGGACAGCAACAAAAACCACGTGACCCATATTACATAATCCGGTCAGATGGCTTATGCATGCAGATGTGTCCATTTAAGCACACACAAGCACAGCATGTATGCATGTTTGTGAAAGTAGTCTGTAAATACATATAACCATAGACCATATAATGTGTGTTCACACTGCTGAAGCATGTTAGGAGGTGTGTGTATGTGTGCAGTAACATAGAAGGGAGGATAGGGAGAGTTACAGAAGCAATGTTAAACGTTCATCTGTTGAGACACAAATCTGCTTTGGCTGGAGGAGCAAAGGGGAAAAAAAGAGACTCGTTCTGTTTAGGTCACATGGGGTGGCCAAACAGAAACAGGCTGTACATTCATATATTGCATTACAACATTGAACCAAGAATCCCAACATGCTAAGCAGGATACAAAGATATTTAATTTTCACTATTCCTCACTATTTTGTTGTGCATATGATGATAAAAAAAAAACAATGTACATTGCTTCCTCTGTATCAAACGGCACAAAGTTACCCTGCTGAGCTCATCTCACATCTGCTCGGGCAGAATCAACTCTGTAGGTTGTTCAGAAAAGTGATAAAAAATGTGTGAAATCTGGCACAGTTTTAGTAACACTCATCAACAGCTTTTCTGTTTCTTCCTAATGCAATTCAGTGCTGAGCCCACAGACAAAACCTGCACTAAATTTTGTATGGTTTCAGATTTGAATAATCATGGGAACAAATCAAAATTATAATCAGGAAGGATACATTTAGGTTCCTGCTCAGAAATTGTATTAGTTTAAATAATGCATTATTAAAATGTTCTTAATGTAATTTGTAATAAATTTATATAATAATCAATGTGAACAATTTGGCAACCCTTTGGTATGAAAAGACATGTGGCAGGCTGTGAAAAAACAAGAGGTGATTTTTAATAAATTATACATTATCACTTTAAGTGGGTCAAGATGTAGGTTACTTTTTTTTTCTCCAACAGAACATTAAAGGTGCAGTAGGTGATTGTCTTCAGAAACATTATTTTTTTGTTGTGCTGGTTGAAATTCTCTTCATATTCCAAAAGTAATTATAAAAGTAAATGATCTAAATGTATTTATATGTATTTTTATATTCTGGCTAAGAATAATTTTCATCTAATTAAAGTTTGTCAGGCTGACAATTCTCATAATTCTGATAAGTAGCCAAAACTGTCTGTCAACAAATGTAGATTTGTACATCTGCGCAGGAGTTCACGCAGATCTGCTGCTTGTGCGCACACGCATTCACTTGCACACGAGAGAGGGAGAGCGGTAAAAACAAATGCTGGATCAAAACTTTATAAAAACCTGAATCAATATTGGAGTTACTTTTGCACGCTGGAGGAAGGACAACACCATGGCTGAAGTATTTCTTTTAGACAGGTAATGTTATGTTTAAAACTCATTTAGTCACACAATGCTTATCTAGATTGTGTTGTGTTATGAATGGGTTATATGCACAGAAGTGTCCACTGAAATCCTCTGGTGAAAGATTGATGTGTCTACTTTCTGTTTCATAAGGTATCTTTTACAGAATCGATAATGTAGATTTTTATTTAGTTTAATAACAAAACATAAGTAAACAGTGCTATTTCGCCTAGCCTGCTTTACTGAGGTGAAGTTGGCTGTATATTCACATTCGTTCATTGTTGAACAATGACAACCTGTGACACGCACCTTATATTGTTTATCATGCTACCAGGGCTTGACATTAACTTTTTTGATTACCAGCCACTGTGGCTAGCAGTTTCCCAATGTTACTAGCCACTCACTATTTTCACTATCATCAATTTTGTTGTTTGGGAAAATATATTTTATATGCATAAATTTGACTTTGGCATGTTAAAATTACTTATATAGATGTTGTGGTATTTCCAAATTCCTCCTCGTTAATTTAAGTTTTTTTGTGTGTGTGTTGTGACCTTGCGCAATGAGCATGAGCAAATAGGCTTTCATAGTGTCGCATTGCAATAGTTTTATTTCACATCTCTCAGTTTATATTCACTTTTTTGGGCTCAACACTAAGGATTTACCATTTTCTTTCTCTGGCCACATTAAACTAGTTATTTCCTTGCCACAAATTTTAAATAATGTGTCAAAACAAGCTAAATATGACTTATTATTCAACATTAAAAAACAATTAAAAAAATATTCCCATGTATCTAAAACATACACAGTAGTCTGTCCAGGCTACAGATCCCAGATCACCAGTTAACTATAGATAAATGGAAAGTTAATCTTCTATTAAAGCAATGTAATTGTAAAGGATAATAATTTAACCACATTAACAAAAATAACTGCAAGAACAAGAAAGCTGGTGAAAACCATTCTGTTAATGTTAGGCATATTAATAATCTGTTCGAGGTATGGTTAAAGCGAAAGTGGCAACTTGCGTAAGGAAAGGGGACACGGGAGCTTTAAAACACTCTCTCGCATCAGATCAGCTGCATGTATGACACTGTCACCAGTAAGTGAGGATTTCCGAGTGCCTGATCATCCTCTAATTCGGTATTCCCTGCTTTCTTTTGCTCGTGCAAACACTTATCAGTCGTGCTGCTTCTCAAAATCTACCCGCGGGTTGGCTGGTGTTAATGTCAAGCCCTGCATGCTACTATGAATATGTGGTCGGAAATAGCATGCAAGTTTGGTTTAGTAATAAGTGTAATTCCTGCACCCTGATGGCCAACCACTAAGCATACAGTATCGCTTTAGGACAAAGCATATAGAGAGTGAGACCAGCAGTCTTTGGACGTTTGAAATATTGCTCAATATGACAAGTTTTGCTTGCTACATAACTGAAATTGTGCTAGATATAATACAGTTTGTATTTGGAATTGTAGTATTATAAAGTACTATGAACTGTTCGAACTGGCAAATGACATGATCTAGTGGATTGTCCACTGTCATCTTTATTTTGCATGTTCATGATATCAGGTGACATTGCTTTGGACGGCAGGGCTGGAACTGTGTTTCAAAGATATTATACTAACCAGTAAGCATTTTAGCAGATCACCTACTGCACATTTAAAGGACATTTTTAGCAGAAAACTTGAACCTACTGGTGATTCATAGAATACAAAACAAACTGCTACAAGCACATCGAGAGAGAGAAAAAAAAAACATACAGGTAAAACTTATATTAATATCCTTGACTTAATTCCTATCCATGGCTCCTGTTACTAAATTACAATCTTTGGAAACTCATAATAAAGTATAATGACGTATATGTGAGCATTTACAAATTAATTAATTAAGCTACTAATTTAGTTTTGTCTGTAGTCTCAAAAAGTGACACACAGTTACATGGAAGACTGTAATTTCAGCTAAACAACTTCTTTATCATTAGACTGAATAAAAAAAATCACCTATAACTTTAAAAACTTTAGAGTGGGCAAATGAACAACACATTTGACATTTTGGGTGAACTTCTTAAATCAAGAAACAACTAGATGGTCATACATTAAAAGTGGGCTTATCTGTGACGTCACTTCCTGTGGATGGCTCCCTGATGCAGTCACTGAAGGGCTGTAAAATCCCCAGATCCAGAATACGAGAACAGAATCTCTCGATGTCCTGCATAGCGCTGTCATCTTCAGATGAGCTCCACTGTAAGAAACACCTCTCCAATAGAGAGCTACCTGCAGGAGTCCAATTGAAAGACACACAGAGGTGGAAAACATTTGAGAGTGAAAACAGCTGCGATTGATTTTAACTGCTTAGGGTCTCTTGTTGTTGGTGTCTGACCCTGTTTAAAGTAGCTGGAAGGTGATGCTTTGAGCCAGAAAGCAAATAAAGTGGAAACTGTGTCATTTCATTTGGTGAATTCATGCGTGTACTGTATGTGTGTGTTTTTCTAAAAGGAGAATTTCTCCACCCTGAGCCTGAAGATACAGTTTGACATCCTCTCTCTCATTTATCAGATGGACACAAACTCAATAGCTCATCCTCTGGTACAGAGGCAGAATTCTGGGTAGCATTGATTAGTTGGAGAAAAAAAGGATATTTACAAAACACGACTCTTAATTTCTTGTTATATATTCCATTTCAAACACACAGAAAAAAGTATTCGTGGATGAACAGAATCTGAATGTTTTCAGATTTTTAATAATTGACCAAGAAGCAATGTTAAAAACCTGCTAATGCTTTCAAGAACAACTAGTTATAGTGCTCAGCATAATTGAGTGTACCCTATTGTAGGGTAATATTTGTATCCATTTCTCAGTGAGTGTAGGCATTGTATTTTGGTGCATTTAAACAAAACAGATTTGTTAAACAGATATATTTATTAAAATAATATTTTAGTCACCAAACATATTTAGAAACTGAAAGATAATACAATTAATACAATTCAAGCAAAATATGGCAAAAAGAAAAAAAAATGACAACATACAAAAATTCAACTAAACTTTTTAAATTTTTTTGCTTCTCCTGATTTTTCCTCTTCTTAAAATTTGTATTTAATATTTTTCTATAACATAGAAATTTGGGTGTATTAGTTTTTGGACTGTTATCGTAAGTTAGTTTGTCAGATAAGCTCCAAATTTGGCTTTAGTGCTGACTAATATAATGTATATGCACAAATATAATATTGTATAGCTTCCTATTAAAAAAATAATTAAAAAGATGGGTTTGTGAGGCGTGTACTTATATATGCTGAACACTATACATGCAGTACAATCAAGATTTTCTGGCCCCAAATAAGTAATATAATTTCAGCATAATGATTTTCTTGAAACACTTTGTTATACAATTGTGCGTTGGACCTTATAACATTTGGTTCAATTAACATTTGATGTTTCTGTATCTTCAAGGCTTTGTAAACACATTTGGATATACTCTAAATAGCTACAGTATGTAGGTAGGAAGTAAAACCAAAACAAAATGTGTTCAATAGTGTCCATATCTTCTTTTTTATTTATATTTTAATCTTAACATCTGGTCTATCCTAGTGTCAGCTTCATAAACAGTTTGTAAAAAGCAGATCATTTGCATAAACCATGTAAAAAATGTGTGTGTGTGTGGGTGTGTTGTTACACAAGTGTGTATTTTAGTGACTTCCTGTGGCACTCCGACTCAATGAGGCAGAAGCCAGAGCTTTCTTTGCCAGTAGCTAATGTGAGTCTGTGTGTGTTTCTGTGGGACTATGTGTGTGTGTATGCATATTTGAGAGCCAGATTTTATATATTTTTTGACTGCTCACTGAACCTTGAGGAGAGTGAAGTAGAATAAAGAACAGAAAAAAAGAGGGATTTATGTCATGTTGTAGCAACGCACTTTGATACTTATCTCCTCATATGACATGGAATTATACATCTTAGCCATTCATGAGATCAGAGATTAAAAAAAAACCTTCTTTGACCATGATTTTGCTAAATATGTATTGCCAAGGTATGTTCTGTTATGCTCAGAAAAAATTCTGGGCTTTTGTAACCCAACATCAGGTCAAATATGGACGAACTCATTCGATTTAAATAACCCTTTGCTAAGCCTGCCCTTCATAGGTTTCTGTTGTTACGCCTGTCAAGCTTCCATGCCTGGCACGTCTATTACAATATGTATGTGCCAGTGTCAGACATTCCCAGGGATATAGTTGGTCGTTTTGGTGAACAGGTGGTATATTTGAGAAAGCCAGACAAAAAAGGACTGCAGTATGCATTACAGGAGTATATTCACGACTTAATACGCAACGGATTAGAAAATAATTCAATCAAGATTGAAGCTAGGTTAGCCTAGCTGCCTCATTGGCTGAAAATTCAACAGCTTAATTCATGCACAGCAGGATAGGTGAAATTTAAAAATAATCTAATAATTACAAATTAAATCGTGATTGCTCTTTTTTAGCAAAAAAGCCTGAAAGACTAATTGTTGTGCAATGAAATATAGCGTTACTAACCAACGTGGAAACATGCACCAATTTAATCTCCAAAAGACAAACGAAAACATAGATAAATTGTAGCTCTGACATGGATAAGAAGGATATAAATTACTGAAAAACAGCAGCGGGTGAAGTATATTGATCACAACTGTTCAATTTGTGATCATATCTCTGTTTTGTTCTGTTGATATGTCATTTCAAATATCCGTAGCTTGAAACAGATGGAAATATGACTGGATTGTGCTTGCTCTTACAGCTATTGTGAGGGCTTAAACGGAGCAGTGTTCATAATATCGAGTGAAAAAATGAAAAAGACAGCTGTGAAACATAACTTGCTTTGTATTTTTGTAGGAAACACAGTTAAGACCTTTTTACAGTCAGAGGTGTGTGAGTTATTGCTGTTTATCAATGAATGTGTCAGGAATATTAAAACCAACTTAACTCCACTCTTTAAGCACCCCTCACACAGCTTAATCCACACTGGCATTTCTCCCCTTTGGTTTAAGGTTCTGGAAAGGGAAAACAAATTCCACCCCTCAATCCAAACCTTTAGGTCACCAGGTATCAGACTTGCACAATCCATATGTGCAACGATTTGGCTTGTTTTCCTCACTCAAAAGCTTGACAGACCTCCTGCGCCTAGCTATGGTTGCTAAGCCACAATTGATGTGTGGCGGTTTTCGGGTATGGCTTAGCGAAGGGTCAATTGAAACTTTAACTCAGGTCTCAAACTTGATTCCTGGAGGCCCGCAGCTCTGCACAGTTTTGCCCTAACCCGAATCAAACACAGCTGATCCAAATAATAAAGGTGTTCAAGACTACTAGAGACCATTAAGCAGGTGTGAGTTGGAGGTGGAGCCTATGCAGAGCTGCGGCCCTCCAGGAACTGAGTTTGAGACCTTTGCTTTAACTCAAAGTTGGGTTTGTCAATATTTGACTCAGTGTTGGTTAAACACAACCCAGCATTTTTTTAGAGTGTAGCATTGCTTTGTTAGTCTAGACACAACTTTACTGTAAAACAAACTGAATGAAAAATGTTATTGAGATCAAATGAAAATTATATTATTTATAAGAATTCAAGATCCTACCCCAGCCCAAACCTAAACCTTAAACCTCAGAGGTCTAAATAAGGGGTACACTCTGATCCTGTGATCCAATGTTGATAATAAAAACTCACCTGCTTGTAGGTTTCTAGCAGTCTTTACTCTTCAGGATCAGACATGTCCACCTCTGTGTTATAGGATTGTTGTTTCGGGACCAATAGTAATAATAATACTGCAAACTGTCTCCAATTTTTGTCAAGTATTAGAGATCATTATTGTGTTCAGATTTGAATCAATGCAAAATTTGGACAAAAGCTGACAGATTGACTCACCTGAAAACACATCTGGAAAAGTGGATGTTGTTTGCCTGGATCTATCAGTCTGGAAGCCACTCTCTATAAGTTCAGACTGATCATGTATGACCTCACACCATTCCTCATGGCAGCCCACTGGACCTGCAATGCTACAGGATCGCTGCCTTCGTGCTCTCCAGCTTCCGGCTCGGTACGGCCCTTGACCTGTTCCAAACTCTAAGCCAACCTTGCGAGGACACATAGGGCTTGGCGAAGGAGTAGTGAATGGAGATATTATGGGTGAGGTGAGCTGTCTGGTGGTTGTTTTAACATAAGAAGTCTGTATTGTGGGATAAGGTTTAACCCCAAGGTTTGCACTGGAGGTTCTACGAGGTCGCGACCCAGAGCCTAAAAAGTTCTCTGAGGACCACTGTGTCATAGATGCAGCACTGCTTTTCCTTCTCGGTTGGGTGGAAAAACCCCTGTCTACCTCTTCTACTGGACCATCACCATCTACGTTCAGCTCTACACTACTAATGCTCTTCTGTGGAACAAAAATGACCCGGTTGATTTTGGACATGTGATTGCTCGAATTCAGACCAACTTCAAGGCTCTGAGTCAGACTATTGCTATCATAATGACACTCTTCAAGAGGAGATGATAAAGATGAACTCTCCAAGATCTCTTCAGCACTCTCGTAAGAAGTGGATGTTCCTGTATTGTCCTGAAAACTGTAGTTACTTGTTGAATGAGTAAAAGCTCTTGCATCCTGGACACTATTTGTCTCTGGTACAGCATCCTGAATACTGTAGTCACTAGACAAACTGGACAAGTGGTCAGCTTTATTTGGAATATCAGCAACTTTCCCATCTGATTCTATCTTTAATTTTGATGTGATCACCCCTCCTGTTGTATCCCCACTACATATCAGATTGAGATATTTGCTGTCAGAAGCACCTTCTAACTTTTCCGGTTCACCCTCACAAGCAAGACTACCTCTTGTAGGACCGTGAGTGACTTCAACATGGCCTTCGAACCCGACTTGTCTCTCCTTGTCCTCAGAGTGACAGTTTTGCCTCTCATCAACTCCCTCCATCTGTCTGATGGTTCTCTGGATGTCCGACAGCAGATCTTGAGCCTCGGCAGCTGAATGATAGCTGCAGAGGTCTGTATCTGACCCCGATCCCTCAGTCTCTCTTTCAACATCATCTTCAGTGGTGTCCAGAGTCGACTGCCTACTTTCAGCCGTGAGTTGCTTAGAGTCAGGCATGCAACTCTCATCACCAGATATTCCACCATTACTGTTGCCATTTGCATCAGCAGGCTTAATCCTAATCCCACCATCCAGTACATCCTCTTTGGACAACACTTTCCGGGAGAGGCCCTTACGGATGCGGATGTTGGAAAACACAGAACCTTTGGAACCCTCCGATTTGGATTTCTTCTTGCCTGATTCGGCAGATGATTTACTTTTCTTAATCTTTTTGACATGGTCCTCAGTGCCTGCTCCGTTCCCCTCACCTTCTGCTCCTGTCGTGACAGTGGGCTTCTTCTGTTTTGCCTCCTGGTTTCCCATGATCCTCAGAAGGCGAACACCTTTAGCGATCAGGCCATGCTGGGAACGTGTGCGCTCAGATTGACTTTCTCGTTCTCTCTTCTCCTCTCTCTCCCTCTCAGTGCTCCCTTGCACTTTCTCCCCCTCCCTCAGTAATCCCTCTCTCTCTCTCTTCACCGCCAGCAGCAGCTGCTGTGATGATGCTGGCTGTGACGCTGTATCTGAGGACTGTCTGTGAGACAGCTCCCCCTGCCTCCCAATGCCTCTCACTTTCTCTAGCTCGCCTATTTGCTCCGCCAGGTCACATAATGGGCTGCTGGAGGAGCGGACCAACTGAGCATGTGCAGCGTGGCCTTGTAAGGGCGAGGATGGCTGTTGTTTCTGATGTAATACTGACTGCTGTTGCTCACGTAATAACTGTTGCTGTTGTCTTCTGATGAGATTTGACAGGCTGCTCTTCCTGCGCTCTTTTGCTCTCTCTCTGAAGGGAGAGGAGTGGAAACTCTCTCGAAGGACAGGTAACTGCATCTCAATTGTCTGAATGGTCTGCATCTTGATTCCTGCTATTGTGGCCTAAGGGATGGACACAAATAAATTTAAACTGAGAAAAGGTGTTGTGTTAGACCTAAAAGTTACTATACAACATTGTTACTTTTAATAGAAAGTTAGAAGTTGGATGCCTATTTCTATTCATTCATCAATTTCCTTCAGCTTAGTCCCTTTATTCATCAGGGGTTCGCCACAGCGACTTATCAAGCATATGTTATCCAGCATGTTTTCCACAGCGGATACTCTTCCAGCTGCAACCCAGTACTGGGAAACATCCATACACACTAATTCACACACATACACTATGGCCAATTTCTGTTATTAAATTCACCTATACCGCCTTATCTTTGGACTGAAGGGGAAATTGGAGCACCCAGAGGAAACCCATGCCAACACACGGAGAACATGCAAACTCCATAGAGAAATGCCAACTAACCCAGCTGGGACTCAAACCAGCGACCTTCTTGCTGTGAGACGACAGTGCTAATAACTGAGCCACCATGTCGCCTGCCTATTTCTAGTTGTTATGCATTAGAAAAGTAAATTAAGTCTTAATTACATAAAGCACATAAAATATTGGTTATAAATCAAATAACCCACAACACTGACCACTCCATTTACATAAACAAAATATTGCAAAGGTAACATTTTATGTAATACTAATCAAAATCTATATATTTTATCTCCTTTCTGTCTAATCCAGGCAAATCTCCACACCGAATGTCTGAAAATAGCTCAGAAATTTAATTTGTGTGTGACAGAAACAGTGCGCCCAAGCAGCGTCATGTGAGCTTAAAGACTGGTCTCATAATCTAATGTACAACTGTGGCCAGCAGGCTTGAAATCAGCGTTATCCTCCAACCTTGTGGCATCAGACACATACCCATGAGCTTTCAACAGATTTATCCAATATTCATTTTTTATCTAGTACTCTGCTTCTGTCTATGCCTGCTGAAAATATGACATTTTTATATGAGATAAGTACTGAACAAATCTTTATAAATCATGCAGTCAAGTATTTTCTTAAAAGATAGATATACACTGAAAACATAAAAACCACTAAACATAGTATTTATGTTCAGTTGTCTAAAAATAAACATTCGATAAAGCGTGAAACGTTTGATTCGTCTTGTCACACACAGATAGTATTTTAGATATATTCCTGACATCAGTTTGTTGTGTAGAAGCTCTGATTTGCCGCTGGAAGATTAGTCTAGAAGGTCACTATTAATCCAAATCAATCTGACCTGGATCAAGAATGAACAGGAGACCCGTCTAATAAGGTAGAAAAGATTCAAAAAACAAGTAGTGGAAGAAAATATACTTGCCTGGATGGAGTCCAGTGATCTGAAGGAACAAGTATGTGTTTGTGACTTTCGCTGGGCCGCTCCTCTTTCCAGATCACATGAATAATGTCATCACATGGCCTTTCTTCCTATTAAATTCTGCCAATAGCAACGGATGCAACTTCTTTTAGGAACACGCAGTGTTAGGCCTTATACCACCCAACAAATACTTTTACACAAAAATGTTGCATATTTAAAATGTTACATTTATTTTGAGAAACAATCTGAGGAAAAAATGCATTTTTGTAACATTCAACAGTTATCACAAAATCCGACAGTAAGTCTATCATTTAACTTTTACACAGCCAATTTGGAACCAAACAAGAACACAGTCACATACAACACACCGCACAGAAGCTCAATTTAACTTTGATCTTTAAAGGCCTTAAAAAAAAACATACAGCCTTTTTTTGCTATGTAAAACATAAAAACATATCAAAAAGTTACATTTTCGTTACTCTAATAAAAATGGTGTGTCAATAACAAATCAGGCAATTTCTCAAAACACTACAACGGTGTCAACTTTGTGTAATTTCCAATCTAGCTTTAAAATTCTCTCCTGTTCATTTTAACAAAAGTTTTAGGAACATAATTTTTTTGTCTTGAGGATGGAAATTACACCGTTTGATATAATAATTACAATTTAGAAACATGTCAATGTACTGCATGTACTGCAAGTCCACTAGTTAGTAGGCAAATTAAATAAACTGATTGTAAAAAAGTGTGTTTTATAAGGTTTTCTTCTGGTAACACTTTACAATAATAGTGCATGAATAATGATGTAATAATATGTAAACTAAACATTATTATGAACTAATGATGAGTTAAGGCATGTGCTAATCATGAACTAACTTTAACTACAACATGGGTCACATGAGTTCATTGGCTACCTTAATCACTTGTTAGTACATGTTGTTAATTAATGTATTAATTAACATTTAAGTTTAAGCTAAATGTAATCAACAAAAACTCATAAGCCGTTAATATATGATTATGTCATGACTTGGAGGGGCACATTATCATTAACTTATCCTCAACTACTTATGAACATGAGTGTTTAAACTGTTGATGTTGACAGAACACCTTTCTATTGTTATTAAGTGTATGCGCACTAGACGGACGTGCATAAGGAGTTCATGAGTAGTTAAGGATGGGTTAATGATGATGTGGCCATCCAAGTAAGGTCATGATATAATTCTACATTAACAGCTCATGAATTTATGATGGTTAAATTAAGCATAAACTAATGTGGTGCTTAATACAGGGTATATGCAGGAATCCTAAAAGTAATTTCAATACCTTTTTAAGACATTTTAAAGATCTTCACAAAATATTTTAAGACCTCATCAAGTTCAAATCAGTATCACACGTTTAACTTAATAAACAGTTGTAGTTAAATAAATTAATGGAGCACAACCATGCAGCAGATCTCAGATAAGCTCAGAAGAAACAAAGCTTGAAAGATTAAATTATGTGACTGTTTTAGCGACAGGGTTCAGACGCTGTTTGAACTCGTCTTTCTCGTCTTTTTCTCGCAAAGACGGAGGAGCTCGGCCGGATGTGCCCGGGCCGAACCAAACGCATAGATCGAGGAAAATAAATATATTTATGCTTTTTTGGAGTCAAACACTTCGGACAACGTTCGAAATTTAGGACCTTGTAAAAATTTGATTGAGACTTTTTAATACTTTTAAGGGCCTTAATTTTCCTCATAATTGATTTATCAACTTTTAATACTTTTTGGGACCACGTGGACACCCTGTAATAAATGAATTAACAAACAATCATGTACCAACAAGTAATTAAGGCAGTCGTTATTAACACACAAATTCCTGTGACTCATGTTGTAGTTAAAGTTAGTTCATGATTAGTGCATGCATTAATTCATCATTAGTTTATAATAAAGTAACGTTTAGTTCACATTACATGTTACCTATTTTCTTCCCTGAGCCAAAGGAGCTCAGAGTTGAAGAAACATGCACGCTCGGTTGATAGGTCTGAATTTGGTGTGCTTTTTAATCTAGAAAACAGTCTGTATGTAACTAATTTGAGTTATGTTAAATTAAGTGGTAATAGAGGAAACAGTTTGGCTTTAAAAGAAATGACCTCCCAGCACAATAATGTTAAATCTGAATGTCCATTAAACAGAGTTAAAAACATTCTTCAGGTTTTATAATTGATTTCACAGCTAGCCCAGTATAATCAGTGCACAATCTCAAAGTCAAACGTAAGGCATTCCAAACATATACAAATATATTCAGTGTGCACTGAAAACATACATAATAGCTATTGAAATACTTGTAGCAAAACAAATGTAAACAACCACGCTTTATAATACAAGAGCAGCTTACGGAAGTGCTGTTTATGAATAACCAAAAGAAGAGAAAATCCTACAAACTGTTCAACTGTGGCTCACATGTTGCAGAAGAACACTTACACTTACCGAGACAGCACTGAACCCCTGTGTGGCACGTTTTCACAGAAATCAGCAAATTTCACGTACAAAAAGAAATATCTTATAATTATTGTTCACCGTAAATACTTTCATATACATTGCAATATTTAAAAATCATATTTTAGTTTCTGTTCATTGACAAGAATGAAATATGTAATATTCAATCCCAAAATATTCAAACAATTATCTGAAGAGTATCGCATCTGATAAACTCTCAGAGATTCAAAATATACAGTCTACATTTCAAATGTACTTTTTTTTTACATATCGCTGAACTCCTGAAAGTTGGCACTGAAGATTTAGTAAAAGGCATACAAAAGTCCACAGGGAGTACAGATGGCAATTGCACTTGCTCAAACCACAGTGTCTGAAAATGTTAAGACCAAGAGACCCAGGATCAAAAGACACTGAACTACACGTCCACATCAAGACTTACATATTAAAGCTTGAGTATATAATACAGAGTCTTGAGGAATCACCTCTTGAATCTTTCATTTTAGCATTAGCACTTTAGCTTCTTCACTGTTCTTCATTTGCTATGTGGAGTCTGTCGGTATGGGCCTGTGAAACCTCACAGCCTGTCTTTGCGGAAAGCTTGGCTTGCTTTTTTTCTGATCCCAGCGACATAGCAGGATCATCTTGAAAGTGCTACGAAAAGTTTTGTTGCAAAGTGCGTAGCACATAGGATTTACTGTACTGTTGACGTAACATAACCAATAGCCTAGCGCCCAGAGGTTCTCAGGTATGCAGCCATTGCAGAAAGTGTTCACCAATACCATGATGTTATAAGGCGTCCATGTTATGATAAAAGCAAAGAGGATGGCGCTTAGAGTCTGTGCTGCTTTCTTTTCCTTTATTAGCGACATGCGCTTGCGCTTGGTGATTTGTGTCCTTGCGCGAGCTGCAAAACGTTTTGCTAAAGCTGCCTCTTTGAAAGTTATTGGTGCTGAGGGAGATTTGATGGTGGTGTTAGTGCTGTCTGTGGTGGTATCTGTTGTCGGCTGTATTGCAGACATTGACTGAACTTTACTCATGCCACCCACAAAGCGCTTGTTCCCGTTGGTGACAGAGCGTGAGATGCTGCCATCCCTGCTGTCCTTCTCCTCGGCTGACCGTAAGGGATCTTCCTCTGTGTCCAGTTCCTCACAGGAAGTGACCTGGGAGTTGACTGCGGCCCTCACGCCAGGCAGACTGAGAACAATTGAGAAGATGGCTCTTGTTGTAGATGGTGCGCTCTCGTCTTCATCAGATGAACCCGAGTGATCAGCTGAAAGTCCAGCGTCGTTGTTGTTCCAGCTGTCACTGCTGCTCTGATCTGCCTCCCTATTTGGCCCACTTTTATCACTGCCACCAGACTTCCACCCCCAACAGTGGAATCTCCCACTCAGACTGTGAACAGAGGCTTTTTTATGACCAGGTTGGCCCAGTTCAAAGCTGCTGCAGCTCCTAGAGCTCCCTCTAGTGGCGTGGAGATGGAATCGTGGTCGCTCAACACCTCCAAATCGTCCACCTGAACCTTGCAATCCAGCAAGTTCCCGTGATCTGTTTTCTGTCTCTTTGTATATTCGCCAGTATAAAACGCTCATTATCGTCACCGGCAGGTAGAACGCCGCCATTGCGGTGCAAAACGTAATAATAGGCTCGGAGAGAAACTGAATGTAGCATTTATCCTGTGGAACAGTTCTTTGTCCTACGAAATACTGCCAAAACAAAATGGCAGGTGCCCAAAGAATGAGTGACACAAACCATGCCAGGCCAATCATCACTCCTGCTCGCTTGGTGGTGCGTTTGGCACGGTACGTCAGAGGCCTCGTAATGGAGAAATATCGGTCAAAGCTAATGACAAGCAGATTCATGACAGATGCATTGCTGGCTACGTAGTCTATGGCTAGCCAGAGGTCACATGCCCAGTTTCCCATCGCCCACTGGCCCATGACGATGTAGGCAGTGTACAGGTTCATAGAGATGACCCCAATGATGAGATCTGCCACGGCTAAGCTGAGTAGGAAGTAATTGTTAACTGTTTTGAGCTGTCGGTTGACCTTAAATGACACCATGACCAAGATGTTGCCGATAATAGTAATAAGGGAAAGCAGGCCTGTAAAGACAACGATGAGAATGACCTGCCAGAGCGAGTGTCCACCCAGAGGATCATAGGATTGACCTTCAGCCTCAGCATTACTCCCATTGAGCTTGAAAACAGCAGTGAGGTTGACGAGGCTTGTGTTCTGGAGCAGTGGCCACAGAGTGGATGCCGGGTACATTCCCACTCCGAGGGTGTCGGATGGAGAGAAGTGGCCCAACTCGGTGCTGTTGGAGTCCATTGTGCAGGCCGGGCATATTCTGAAAAAGGAAAATATTATTAAGTTATTCTTAATCATTTGATATTTAAGTCAAATGCTTGCGATGAAAGCTGACAGAAAGTGCTTTGCACATTTAAAGGGTGGTGATGCTACTAAAGATCCAAGGTTGCTGTTGCTTTATATCTACACTAGAGGGTGATGTTGATCCACTAAATCAGATCATCAGACAGGTATTAAACATTCAGTCCTTTTTAAAAACTTTGAGAGGATTAAACAAAATACTTTCTCAAATATAGCATAAAATACCTAATTGGAATCTTTCTGCAGCCAAATATGTAGATGTGTAAGCAGCAGAGTATGTGAAAGATATGAAACAGTTGATTTTAGTGAGAGAAAAAAAAAAAACATTAAATCAAACATCTCCAAACATTAAGTATTGAACAGTCATTGATCTTAAAGAAATCTTTTATTATTTTAGGAATACATCGGATGAATGATTAAATACTGTATATATATATATATTTTTTTTTTTAATGCACAAACAACAGTTCCCAAATTTCCAGAGAATGAATAATGCTGTAAAGGAACTTGCTCATTATACATATTTTTACATTGAAAAAACAAAAATGAACCAAAAAATCTTAGAGCGATTGTAATTAAGCTGTGCTTGTAGCCTTATCTCCCTATTACAAATTAAAAATTCTCATAGGTCATAGGTGGCATTTCATTATCTGCTCTCACTTGGAACGTCTTGTTCTAAGAAATTTAAATTACACCATACAAAAGTGAAAATTAGGTTTGTCCCATGTGAATTCATAAATAAATCCAGTCTTTCATAGAAAGTTTCCCACAGAACTGTCAAAACTTACAAAACACAAACAAGCTCAGGCCTTTCATTAAAAGTATAAAATAAGCTAGTGCATGTATTTTCATTTCTTAAAGAGTGAAGGACCGTTTTAATAATGCAAAATAACACATCAAGAGATAAATAACTCAATATGTTTTCAAAAATAGATCCTCCTTACTAATGGTGCTGTGGAAGTACACAAAATAGGTCTGGATAGGAGATAACGGATACACAACAATAAGATGTTGTTAATATAATGCTAGACTGAATAACTTAATCCAGAACAAAATTACGTTACATCGGACCCAACAAGAACATAAAAAACATTGAACACTATAAAAACCTAACATAATAAATAAGCTTTTAGAATTTCAGAATTATATGAAAATATAGTTATGTCAAATATAACCCAATTTGAAATAAAAAAACAAATCACAGAAGGGAATAAAAAAATTACTTAAAAAAACAATTGCACAGTTTGTTATAATAACTATAATATTAACAATTTGTGCTAGTTTAACTATTTATAGATTTATTATGCTATCTATCAATAGTATTTAAAGCATGGTGTTCAAAAGTCTTAACCTTGTCTTAATTCTATAAAATCTGAATAAAATGTGTGTTAAAGCTAGTTTCCATGCTAAAGCACAAGCTCTGCATTAACATACTAACAGCTAGCAGATCAATATGTGCAGTGTTTCTGAAGAACATTTTCAAAATAGCTGCTATACACTTCAGTTAAAAGCTGTGACACTCAGTCTCAGAGCTAGCAGACACACGAACAGCAGGGGAAAATGTTCACGTCGAGATAAACCATGGGCGAGGTGTTTCTTTACTTTATTCTGCAAGAGGAAGTTGTTGCGGCTCTTTCCCAGAATGCCTCATAAATGCACAGTTAATCTCCTTGATAGAAGCACAGAATAAAATGTAACTGGCTCATGGCCAAGGACGGATAAACATCTCAACGCTTCATATAAAAATCATATCTAGTTCTTAACCAGAAGTTACACACAAATACACACAAACAAATGTTCTTTCTTTAAAAAAACAATCTTACAAATTTAAAAATAAGTCTAAAAAGGCTGCTCTTGAAGGAAAGCTGACAATCATAAGGCATCATAGAGCAGAACAGGCCTCCATTACTAAATATAGTCATCATAAACTTTCAAAAGAAAGCACTGATTCTGAACCAAGAGCATCTGTCTTAGTTTCAGATACTTTTTCATCTTGATAAGGCAATGGGATGCAGCAGAGAAAAGTAGACGAGATGCGAGATTAGGGAATGACGGTCTGAACACATAATCACATTGTCGCTAAGATACTATATATGGGCTTGCCTTGCATATTTTAAAAAGAGAAAAGAACAAATGGGTATGACCATTGCTATACACACACACACACACACACACACACACACACACACACACTGCAGAGTCAGAGGTAATTAGCTATTGGATTCGATCTCAGTTCTTCTAAAGCAGAAACAAAGGATAATTACCTTACAATAAGCAGAGTCGTGTTTAAAACTGAGAGAACAAAACAGTCACGCACAAACTGGTTTGTTAAAAAATAATAATAAAAATGGGAATAATTATAAAAATATACAGACTTTTTTGTCTGAAAAATAAGTTGCTTATTAAAAGTTTTTTTTGTTTTTGCATGACAGTGCCTTTATTTGTGTAATGGGTTTAAATCACCCACTTCGAATGTTATCACTGGTTATCAGCTGATAGATATGGGCTACAGAAGGCTGCTATCATCCATCCACATGGGTAATCAGCTATACTGATAGAAAAGACTCAAGATCTGTTTTTACATTACTGTGACAGTTGAGTTTACATTTGGAGTAGGGGTAAATGTTATAAAAATACAATTAATGGTACATTTAATAAAGAATATAAATAATAATTATGGTGAATCAGCTATACTTATAGAGAAACCTCCAGATCCAGATCTGTTTTTGCATTACTGTCATGAATGGGTTTAGAGTTGGAGTAGGGTTAGACGTTAACAAAATACAATCAATGAGAAATGTAATAAATAATATAAATAATTATTGTTAACTTCCGGCCTCATTCATATGTGATCTATAGTTGATTAAGCATGTAGAGGGTCTTCTGAGCATACCATTAAGTGCAGAAGGTCCCTACTGGCCCATATGTACAGTATCAGCTGATAACCACTGATAACACCCATTCAATCAAGTGATAACATTCGAATCGGCTGGTTTAAAATGCCTCTATAAAAGATAGCACTGTATAATTTTTGTTCTAAAAATGAACATTTAGAGATGTCTGTCTGAAACAACTACTACATTAACTACATTAATTGACAGACAAATAATATATCAAAATAAATACGGATTTCTCCAGAACGGACTTTAGGCATGAGAAAATGATGGTGAATGTCAAATTGGTAGCTGAAAGTAAAAAAAAAAAAAAAATAATAGTTTAAAATGATAAAATAGTTATTTTTTTGGATTTATTTATGCATTACTGTATTTAATTTAATAGGGACAGAACTAAAAATCGCAGAAAAAAACATTATTATTGTTTGTTTTAAAGGGATAATTCACCCAAAATTAAAATGACCTCATCATTTATTTTCCTACTGTACAATTGGTTTTAAAAAAGAGAAAATGATTCAGAAAAAAAAACTTATGTAGAAAAATTCTGGTTGTTGGCACCTTTTGACTTTTGACTAAAAAATACTATTGAAGTTAATGTGTCAGTCTTTTCTGGTCAATCTGTGCATTTTGGTTGAGTTTAAGGAAGGAGGAGGGTGGAGGAAATTGATCAGTCAGTCAGTCAGCTGACAGTGGCCTCTGACAGAGTTATGAAAGTAGAGTAGGCGCAAATCACTTGCGAGAGAAAATTGAGATCTCAAAAAACGTACACACCAGCCTCTGGCAGCTTCGCAAAAACTGCAAAAAAAATCTGCTGGGATGTATTTGGCGCTCTCCAGAAATGTATATAGGGGTACACAATCACAATGAGCTTGGATTGCAGCAAAGAAGCTCAAATATATTTTTGAAAAAGTAAAGGGTGAGTAAACAATGGTAAATTTTGGGGTGAACTATCCCTTTAAACTAAATTTTCCAGGATTATTGATGAAAATTCAGTAGAACATTTAATTATAAATCTTTGTAACTTGACAAACGTCTTTGACTTTTGGATATTGGAAAGGAAAGAAATGTTCAGAACTATATGAATGATGGAGAACTGCATACAAGACAACTGTAATAGCTGGTAATCTCTTAAATATCATACTTAAGCACAGGCCTTTTGTAAGTAAATATGTCAGCATTCAATACAATAAAATAAAACAAAACCCTCAAAGAAAGCTTGTTGTTAAATACAAGCTTCTTGTTCATTTATCTGAGTGAGAGATATCAGCGGCAGAGAGGGAATCAAACAACAAAAGATGAAGTCAGAAAAAATCTAATTGGCATTGGGCTCTGATTCGGACCCCTGCTCTCCGCGTTCAGCTCTGTGCTTTTATCCTATTAGGATTGTGCTCTGACCTGAAACACACAAGCTCAGATGGAGGACTGCAAACACATTTTGTACAAAACTAGTGACACGCATAGTCGTAATTCCATTAAGTCGAGGAATTTGGGAATTGTCTAAATTTCAGTTGATCCGCAAGCAGCTGATGAACGGGCTGTTGTCATGGGGACCGTGGAGGGAAGCGGGAGGAGGCAAATGCAGTTACAGTCAACTGTATGTTCACATACACACATGTGTGAAATTCAGTGGAAAATGAAACTATAATTCAATTCAAAGGTGAAGAGGGAAGCTGAAGAGAAGTAGATTTTCTTTTATATAAGCCCCACACACAGAATAAACTGCATGTACAGTATAAGCCACAGGTTGTTTTTCCTTTATTCACTCACAGGATTTGAATTCTAGTATTAATATTAGGAAGTTTACAACACAGTATAACATTGATATAAGTTCAAGCTGCTTATGCCAAACGTACCGGCTTCTAGCCAAAGCCCTGATTAAGCTTTTTATATAATATAATAACAAATAGTGGTGTGAAGTAACAAATTACAAATACTTAAATGACTGTAATTGGGTAGTTTTTCCTCAGGAATTATAGCTTACCAAGTTGTTTTAAAAATGTGTACTTTACTTTCACCTGATTACATTTTTAGTGCAGTATTGGTACTTTTACTCCACTGTTTTCCA